ATTATGAACATAGCTGCTATAAATATTAGGGTGCAGGTGCCCCTTCAGATCACTGTGTTTGTATTCTTTGGGTAAATACCTAATAGTGCAATTGCTGGGTCATAGGGTAGCTCTATTTTTAACTCTTTGAGGCACCTCCATACTGTTTTCCAGAGTGACTGTACTAGTTTGCATTCTCACCAACAGTGTAAATCCATAAAATTTTTAAGAAACTCGTATTAGTGAAAATGCTGGCAGTTTGAATTAAAAGGGACAAAGGTAGTGCAAAACAGGCTCCCAGATTCCTATATTCAGGAAACAAGCTACAAAGAGCTAACCATCTGCAATCATGGGCCATTTGTCTTTTTTTTTTTTTAACAGCTCTCTTGAGACATAATTCACATGCTATAAAATTGATTCACTTAAAATGTACAATTATTTTTATTTACAAATTTGAAACCATCAGTACAATCAATATTAGAATATTTTTATCATCTCAGTTGAGAAAACATATGGTTTAGCTATCACCTCCCATCCTTTCCAGCCCTAAGCAACCACTAGCTTATTTTCTGTCCTTTAAGATTTTATATTCTGGACACTTCATATAAATGGATAATACAATATGTGGTCTTTCATCACTGGCATTTTTTACTTAGCATTAATGTGGTTAAGGTTTGTCCATCTTGTAGCTTATGTCAGTACTTCATTCCTTTTTATGGCCAAATAATATTCCATTTATCCATAGGATATGGATATATCCTATTTTATTTATCCAAATAAACAATTGATGAGTGCTGGGTTAATTCAACCTTTTGACTATTATGAACACTGTTGCTGTAAAGCATTTGTGTACAAGTTTTTGTGTAGGCACACGTTTTCATTTCTGTTGGCTATATTTCTAGGAGTGGAATATCTGGGTCATATGGTAAATCTACATTTAATCATTTGAAGGAAATTTCAGATTGTTTTCCAAAGTAGTAGTGCATTTGCTTCCTCACTAGCCATTCCCAAGGATTCTGGTTTCTCCACATCTTTGCCAAGACTCATTATTATCTTACATTTTGATTCTAGCTTACTGGGTATGAAGTAGTATCTCATTGAGGTTTTGATTTGCATATGCTTGATGACTAATGATCAACAGCATATCTTTATATGCTTATCAGCCATTTGTATGTCTTCCTTGGAAAAATGTCTGTTCAGATCCTTTGCCCTTTTGAGTTAGGTTGTCGTTTTTATTATTGAGTTGTAAGAATTCTTCATATATTCTAGATATAAGTTCCTTATCAGATATACAATTTTCAAATATATCCATAGTCTTTGGGCTGTCTTTTCACCTTCTTGATAATATCATTTGAAGCACATTTTTTTATTTAAATTCAGTTAGCCAATATATAGCACATCATTATTTTCTGATGCAGAGTTCAGTGATTCATCAGTTACATATAATACCCAGGGCTCATCACATCACATGCCCTCCTTAATGCCCATTGCTAAGTTACCCCTTCCTCCCACCCACCTCCCCTTCTCCAACCCTCAGTTTGTTTCCCAGATTCAAGAGTCTCTCATGGTTTGTCTCCTTCTCTGATTTCTTCCCATTCAGTTTTCTTTCCCTTCCCCTATGATCCTCTACACTCTTTCTTATACTCCACCTATAAGTTAAACCATATGATAATTGTCTTCTCTAATTGATTTATTTCAGCCAGCATAATACCCTCCAGTTCCATCCATGTCAATGTAAATGGTAAGTATTCATCCTTTCTGATGGCTGAGTGATATTTCATTGTATATATAAACCACATCTTCTCTATCTATTCATCTGTTAAAGGACTTATTGGCTCCTTCCACAGTTTGGCTATTGTGGACATTGCTGCTATGAACATTGAGGTGTAGGTGCCCCTTGATTTCACTACATCTGTATCTTTGGGGTAAATACCCAGTAGTGCAATTACTGGATTATAGGGTATCTCTATTTTTTTTAATTTATTTTCAGCATAACAGTATTCATTGTTTTTGTACCACACCCAGTGCTCCATGCAGTCCATGCCCTCTCTAATACCAACCACCTGGTTCCCCCAACCTCCCACCCCCCCCACCTCTCCAAACCCTTCAGATTGTTTTTCAGAGTCCATATTTTTAACTTCCTGAGGAACATCCATACTGTTTTCCAGAGTGGCTGTACCAGTTTCCACCCAGCAACAGTGTAAGAGGATTCCTCTTTCTCCACATCCTTGCCAACATTTGTTATTCTTTGTCTTGTTAACCTTAGCCATTCTAACTGGTGCAAGATGGTATCTTATTGTGGTTTTGATTTGTAAGTGACGTGGAGCATTTTTCACGATTCTGTTGGCCATTTGTATGCCTTCGTTGGAGAAATGTCTGTTCATGTCTTCTGTCCATTTCTTGATTGGATTATTTGTTTTTGGGGTGTTGAGTTTGTTAAGTTCTTTTTTTTTTAAAAGATTTTATTTTATTTATTTGACAGAGAGAGATCACAGTAGACAGAGGCAGGCAGAGAGAGAGAGAGAGAGGGAAGCAGGCTCACTACTGAGCAGAGAGCCCGATGCGGGAATCGATCCCAGGATCCTGAGATCATGACCTGAGCCGAAGGCAGCGGCTTAACCCACTGAGCCACCCAGGCGTCCCGAGTTTGTTAAATTCTTTACTGATCTTGGAAACCAGCCCTTTTCTGATATGTCATTTACCAATATCTTCTCCCATTCTATAGGTTGCAACCTTTTAGGGCTTTTATTTTTTTTTTTTTTTTTTTTTTTTTACTGTTTCTTTGGCTGTGCAGAAGATTTTTTTCTTGAGGAGGTCACAATAGTTCATTTTTGCTTATGTTTCCTTTGTCTTTAGAGATATGTCTTGCAAGAACTTGCTGTGACCAAAGTCGAAGGGGTTGCTGCCTATGTTGTCCACCAGGATTTTTATGGATTCCTCTCTCACATATAGGTCTTTCATCCATTTTGAGTTTATCTTTGTTTATGGTGTAAGAGAATGGCCCAGCTTCATTCTTCTGCATGTGGCTGTCCAGTTTTCTCAGCACCATTTATTGAAGACACTGTCTTTTTTCTTTGATTTTATATGCTCTCATACATCCTATTCTTTCCTTTTTTGTTGTTTTTTTTGTTGTTGTTTTATTAACATACAATGTATTATTTGCTTCAGGGGTACAGGTTTGTGAATCATCAGTCTTACACAATTCACAGCACTCACCAAAGCATATACCCACCCCAATGTCCATAACCCAGCCACCCTCCCCTTCACCCCCAGCAACCCTCAGTTTGTTTCCTGAGCTTAAGAGTCTCTTATGATTTGTCTCCCTCCCTGGTCCCATCTTGTTTCATTTTTTCCCTCCCTGCCCACCATGACCCCCCATCCTGCCTCTCAAATTCCTCATATCAGAGAGACTATATGATAATTTTTTCTCTGATTGACTTATTTTGCTGAGCATATTACCCTCTAGTTCCATCCACGTTTCTGTAAATGGCAAGATTTCAGTTTTTGATGGCTGCATAGTATTCATTGTGTATATGTACCATATCTTCTTTATCCATTCATCTGTTGATGGACATCTAGGTTCTTTCTATAGTTTGGTTATTGTGGACATGGCTGCTATATACATTTGGGTGCATGTTCCCCCCCTTCAGATCACTACAATTGTATCTTTAGGGTAAATACCCAGTAGTGCAACTGTTGGGTCATAGGGTAGATCTATTTTCAACTTTTAGGGGAACCTCCATACTGTTTTCCAGAAACACTGTCTTTTTTCCATTGAAAAATTGTTGCTTTGTTGAAGTTTAGTTCACCATAGAGTTGAGGGTCCATATCTGGGGTCTGTATTCTGTTCCATTGATCTACATGTCTGTTTTTGTGCCAATACTATGCTATCTTGATGATCACAGCTTTGTAATATAGTCAGGCATTGTGATATCCCCAGCTTTTGTTTTCTTTTTTAACATTCCCCTGGCTATCTGGTTCCATACAAATTTTAGGATTGTTTGTCCCAGCTCTATAATGTTGATGTTATTTTTATAAGGATTGCTTTGAATGTATAGATTGCTCTGGATAGCATAGATATTTTAACAATATTTATTCTTCCAATCCATGAGCATGGACTATTTTTCCAATTCTTTGTGTCTTTCTCAGCTTCTTTTGTAAGTGTTCTGTAGTTTTTAAAGTACAGATACTTTACCTCTTTGGTTAGGTTTATTCTTAGGTATCTTATGGTTTTTGGTGCAATTGTAAATGGGACTGATTCCTTAATTTCTCTTTCTTCAGTCACATTGTTAGTGTATAGAAATGCAACTTATTTCTGTGCATCAATTTTTTATCCTCCCACATTGCTGAATTGCTGTATGAGTTCTAGCAATTTTAGGGTGGAGTCTTTTGAGTTTTCCACATAAAGTATCATGTCATGTATGAAGATTGAGAGTTTGACTTCTTCTCTGCCAATTTGAATGCTTTTTATTTCTTTATTTTGATGAAGCTCAATTTATCTGTTTTTCCTCTTGTTGCTTATGTTTTGGGGTCATATCTAAAAATCCACTGCCACAACTGAGTTCATGAAGATTTACCACTGTTTTCTTCTAAGAATTCCATAGTTTTAGTTCTTACACTCAAATTTTTTATCCATTTTGAGTTAATTTTTATATAGTGTGAGTTAAGAATCCATATGCCATCCTTGTGACTATATTAAATTAACCCAGACTAATTTATTAAAAACACTATTCTTTTCCCATTGAATGGTCTTGGCATCTTTGTCAAAAACTAATTGTCCATAGACATCTAGACACACAACTCTTATTGGAGTCATGAGAAAGAATAGACCAGGACTCATATAAATTGTATGGAGAAAACTGGTGCCTCTTTTCAGTAAATTCTTTCCTAGAAAACAAAAGTGGGGGAATATATTAACCAACTCTGTTTTCCAGGAACACAGAGCACAGAAAAAGTCCAAAATTGTTAATCCCTCCTTTTGTTCAATATGAAGAAATATAATAGGCTTCTGAACAACAATATGTTTTGCCGTTTGGGCTGGTTTTTCTTCAGGTAAATGACTATATTCTAAAGAACAATCTTCTTAAATCCCTAATAGCATGTCCTGCTTAATAACCTCATTCCAGTCGAGGAATTGTCCCTCCACAAATAATATTTGGTCAGATTTCTCAATGGGATCTCTAATACATTGTACATCTGCAAGGTACAGAAAGATTCCTAACTGAAGTAAGACAATCATGTTGTTGCCATTCTTTTAGGAGCAGGAGAGTGACATGTTTCCGGTTGTTTCAGGGATGAAAAGTAATGTGAGAGGAGAGAGTAACAGAATCTTTTAAGAGGTTAACCAGTTGGCTGAAAAGTGCTGCCTGTTCTCAGTCAATACTAATGTCTGTGTTGCATGAGGGACCATGAGGTTAAGTAAAGAGCCTAGAACTATTGCAGCAGAAGCATCAATAAGTTTTCCCATGACACTGATTACCTTAAGTCAAGGGGGAAAAGCCTTTACAACTGGGTCAAGGGCGAGTCAATAGTAAGCAACTGGTTTTTGATGACACCCAAGAAATTGAGTTGAAACCTGAAGGGCTTGTTCAAATTGTTGGTGCACAATTCGATGGAATGGCTTTTATAGTTAAGAGTACCTAAGGAAGGAGGCTATTATAAGGCCTTATTTAGATTACAGAAGACCTGTTGTATTTGTGCTCCCAGATCAGAGTCTCTTACTGAAGACTTAGACAATTCATAAAGAAGTGTTGGAATCACAGGGAAGTTTGGTACTTATTGCCTTCATTTTCCAGTTAAGCCTAGAAGTCCTCCAAGTTGCCACCTTGAAAGAGGTCTAGAATATTTGTACAGTCTTTAATCTATCAGGAAAATATTTCCCTTCATTAGATAGGTCATTTCCTAAATAAAGGACTGTGTTGTGAGACATTTGTAATTTATCTTTTGAAGCATCATGTTCTTTTCCTATTAATGCTGAGAATAAGCAAATGATCTTTTTACAACTTCCTTGTTCCCTGAACAAAATAAGAGATCTATTATATTATATTACATTATATTATATCATTAATCAGAACTGAATCACAAGGGAAATTTGAATCTTATAAGTCATGATTAAAGACCTGAGAAAAATAGTAGACGGCTTCAGTGTACCCCTGAGGCATGACTGCCCAGGGATGTTATTCTCCTTGGTGGAAGGTAAAAAAGTGTTGACTTTCTTGGTCCTCTTAGGTATGCTGAAAAAGACAAGCAAATATCCACTACAGTGAAGCAAGTGACTGTAAGCATAATAGATGATAGGATGGTGTCTGAATTACGTACTATAAAGAAACAAAAGATCACAATTTTGTTGATGGTTTTGAAGTCTTCAACAATTTATATTTTCATCCATTTGGTTTCTTTTTTTGGCAAAATGTGAGTGTTACAAGGGCTATTACAAACTATGAGAAGATCCTTGAATACAGGGTTTTTAAAGATAGGTTTGAGCTCTTCCTTTGTGTTTGGCCTCAAGAATATTGGGAAAGCTTGGGTGATGGTTTGGTAAGATCTAGCTGAATTTTAATAGGCTCTCTTACAATTATGTTCCATTTCCAGTGCTGGAAGTTTTAGCCCATAAAGTGTGAAGTATGGTGTCAAGATCTTTATCGGAGGAATGTATTAAATATTATAAAGAAGGCAAAGGTATATCCAGACTAAAAACAACTTGATTATGAATAAAGGAGCCCTCTCAAATCCCAAGAAATTTTTCCTTCCATGTGTATTTGCAAAAGCCATTTGCAAAGCATATATCTCCTTATTAACTTTGCAAGTGTGGTATCACAAAGCAAAAAATGAAAGTTTTTCAGTAAAGGATACAAGGGTTACAGTTAAGGACTGAATTATTTAAAATACCTGCTCCTGTGTTCTGTTTTCTCTGAGGAAGAGGTTGAGTAATGGCAGTACAATTTAACATAGAAAGAGTAGTACCCATTATCTATCAAGTCTTAGTGAGGTTGACCATTTATATTTATAATTCACTTTGTTTGCTTACAATAATCCAGAATATTGAATGCATTTTCCTTCCTTATTGATCTAAATTGATGGGTTTGTTTGTTTGTTTGTTTGTTTGTTTTGCTAGGATGAAACAATTTTTCTTCCCCAGTGTCCCTTCTTTTTACAAAATCTACAAGTGTCCTTATCAATAGGTGGCTGGTTGAGAAGTGGTCTGCTTAGCTATTTGATCTTTAGGGCCACAAGTTTAAGTCTTATCTCATTTTCATCCTAAAGGTATTTCAAAATGTTATGTCAGATGTTTTAGTTCAGATAATGGGGCTATTTCCTATTCTAATTTCTTTCTTTGAATTAGGTGCCCAGTTTCAGGTTCAGCTCCACTGGCAAAATGAGATGCAAGGGCTGCTGTTCAATAAGCATCTTCACACTTACAACTTTTTGGGAAGACATGGTTTAGTCTATTCTTAAAAATATATCCCATCATTTCATCTTTACTTTATTGCATGATTAAATGGTGATCCAATCAATGTTTATTAGAAACATTTCATGTATGGTTCAGGAGACTTTGCCCTGCTTCGGGAACTTCTTTTTGAGTCTCAAGCTTATTATGGCAAGAGGGATCCTGTAGGTCCCATTCTGGGTAGGTCCAATCAGCTTTGCCACACAGTATTCAGCATCTGAGCTTCCAACCAACTATGTGTACAAGTTGCTATAGGTCAAGTAACTCTGGATCATATGCACCAAAAAGAATTCTAAATTATTTTGTAAGTATTTGCTGGTCTTGTCTAGGTTTAGAGAAATCTTTATAGCTCGTAATTCAGCTTGAGTCCAAAGTTTAGATTCTGTAGTTCCCTGCATACCTAGTATATGGGAAGGATGGATTTTTAAAGGCAACAGACTTTGGTGGTTTTAGAAGAGTTGGGGAAAGGTAAAGGGTCTGGATAAGAGGAAGCAGATAGAGGGTTTGACAGAGTTGTGGAAAGAAAGAGATTGGAAGGATAAGAGGGAAGAGGGAGAACAGGATATAGGGAAGAAGCTGAAGGACAAAGAAGAGGAGGGCTTGCTAGGGAAATTACTTTGCTGCTTAAGTTTGTCTAATTCCTCATAACTTTGGTCAAAGAATCTTTTTGTAAAGTAATATTTTATTTAAACTTTCTTTGGAGGCCTCTGCATACCAATCAAAAAATGCTGCCCTTGTGAACGGAGAAATCACATTCCTTTCTTTTCTAAGGAAATTTTCAAAAGAACAATTTTGTGGAAGTCAAATGCCTCCCCCCATCTCAAGTGCCCACTAAAGGCTTAAATCATACTTGGGAAAATTATGTCATTTGGAAAGATAAGTATTAGAGTAAGCACTGTCATAAGAGTAGATATATGAAGCAAAAGTTTCCCCAGAAGAGGAGAAAATTGAGGCTTAGATTATCTCACGAGAGCTGGCAGTGCTGGTAGAATTGAAATGTTTGTGCAGCTCACATCTCAAACCCCAAACTCATGATTGGTCACCTCCAAACACAGACTTGACAATCTGTGCCTTATGGCAATGGAATACCAGAGAGAATGCTCTTTCTGTATCAAAAAGGAGGGGGAAAAAGCCCTCAGGACCAAAATTTGAGATGGAAAGAGAACCTCATCCAGTTTTACTGGTGACTTACAACAAAGTTTGTCCAAATGGGCAGTTGTGGTAAAAACAGCAAACTCATTGGTCTGTGAGACTGCCATCAACAAAAGGCTTAGAAGACATATGACTGTGTTATATCATATGATTCTCCTTCTTATGACATATAGCACTTTTAGGCAGCACTCCATAGAGCAGTAACACAAATATAACAAAAAAGGATGAAAAGACCCACCCATTTGCCAAACAAATGGGTGGACACTGATAACAAAACCTGTGTACCAAACTCAGAAGAATGACCAAAGAACTCAACAGGAAAAGAGTGGAGTTCAGCTCTCTGCTGACTTACCATTCACTGTGGACTTGACAAGCAGCAAGCAGTGAGACATAATAGGTTCTGGGTGCCCAGTTGAAAACTGGAGGCCATGGTGATGGTCAGTGCAATCTGTGTCTTGATGGAAACTCCAAAGAAACTGTGGTAATAAATGAAAATCACTGAAATGAACACAAACAAACATTTATTCAGAGCTTGCTATATTAAGCTACTTTTCACCATCACCTGAGATGAGCAGAAACTCAAACACAGGTAAAGTAGTGGAATGCTCTAGAGTGGAAAAAGGAAAGGCTTCAGGTATGCCCCAATTGGAAGCTATTGGCTTACAGAAGCTAGAGGACTAACTAGAAGTGAGCCACCCTATATGATTGATCAGGAGTACATATCTGGTTTTCTATGGTTCATCCTAAGTTAGAAGTATAGGCAAAAATTAGTGCAGCTGTGAAATATTGACCAGATCCTGATTTGGGACTGATGTTAAACAGGTTATGTGCCTTATTAGACTAATTGCTATAGAGGCTGCACGTCAGAGCTCTATTTCTGTATATGGTCTAACCATTGCTTATTTTTATATTCAGTCTCTTACCATTCATTGAGTTTTTTAAAGCCGAGATGTCAATTGTATTGGTGGTGTTGTCCATAGCATTGGTTACTAGTCCAATAAGGATGAATGACCTGAGAATTTCACCAGACATCGTTGGTAGTCCAAACAGTGGCCTATCCAGGGAAATAACTGGACCATGAATGGTCAGCTGCGATAATGAGTCTTTCTAGTATTATGAAAAGTTCTTAGGCTTGAGCTTATAATAACTCTTCAGATCTTGGAGGCAAAAACTTATTACAAGGCAACTTTAGAGTCCCAATAAAAACCTGCCAATCAATTTGTAGCTCACAGTAATTCCAATTCAAGGATACAGAAAAATTGGAAAGCTTGTTTAGAGGCTAAGATTAATTTTTAGCCAAATATTGAAGGAAACTGGAAGAACTGAAAATTTGGTAAGCATTACAAGCTGTACAGGTAAGAAAATGCAGTTCAGTTTAGAAGTTAACACCAAACAGGCTTTTGCACAGGAAATGAGAAAGCTTGGTTACCAGACAAGACAAAGTTTGCATATGGACCAGTTACCTGCAGTTTACAGAGATGCAAAAGAGCTCAAAGGCAATGAATAGGGTCAGAATCTGATAATCCAGAAGAACATGCTTAGTTTCCCATTGAAACACAAAATGCTCTTACAGTCCCTCTTCCCCTTTTGAGCAAAGACAATCCCAAAGAAAGATTATTCTTGATCACAAAACAAGGCTGCTCTCATTAGACGTGGCCTGGTTGTTTGCATAGATGCAGCAAGAATGACAAGTCACCACATAAATCGTCTATTTGCTTTGCTGGACAGTTTCATAAAGATACCTCAGATTTGACTTTTCAAAGCCTCTTGAGGATAGGAAGCCAAGCCACAACCTCACCATCATTTTTCACCTGCGGTATCTAGTGGTTTGGTGGAAAGACCTCTCTTCCTGAGGTTCCCCAAATATCCCAACATTCCTGAGCCCACTAAGAAGTGACCTTCCTTGCTCACCTATGAGGCCGGGAACCCTATGAAGCCAGTTACTAGGCCAGTTTTCCCAAGAGGGACGACTTTGTAAGCATTGGCCCCATAAAGGCTACCTTAATTCCTGAAAAGTGTGTGGTCACATCTGATGAAATGAGCATCCTTCTCAACTACGACATTCTAGGCAACGCCAGCCTTGATTGTAGCGTGTCCATTTTGTTCCTATTAACAAGGTGGACAGACTCTTACTGAATCTATGCAAATATCTAGAGTGTCACGAAAACAGGCATCCTCAATAAGAGTTCCCCAAATTTCACAGGGTGAGTCAGGGCAGAAAAGATCAATGTTTCATTTCTGCTTTACAAGAGCACAGTCTAATAAGTTGTTATGCGTGATAGATGGCTTGAGAGAAAAGAGCTTAATGCTCTGTTTTCTGGATGTTCCCTGATATCCAGAAAACAGAGCATTAAAGCATCACCACTGTTCCAAGCAAGGCCCACATCCAACCAGTTTATTCGCTTTATTAAGTTCTTTGTAATTAATTCTTGTTCCACATGATTTGGGGTTAGTAGTCTCAGGAACACATCTGCTTCATGACTAGACGTCTGGAACTCCTGACTCAGCTCACTGGTAGGATCTCATAGTTACTGAAGCAATCCCATCAGAATCCTGTGCCCAAGTATATGTGGCACGGTCCACTTCCACAGGTTTCTAGGATAGTCCTTTTTTTGTTGAAGACAGAGCTCTCAGCCAGTAGCTGACTTGCAAAGGCTCTTTGGGAAACATCAGAGTAAAGCAGAAAACCACTTGTAAAAGACAGAAAACTTAAAATAGCCATGGTTAGTGCATTTTTTTTTATAATTTTAAAAGTGAAAGATCTGATCATAGGTCACTATTAGACTAGTACAGTTGATAACGATATATGATTATTCATATGAGACTTAAAAAAAGTCAGTTTAGAAAGTTTTAGACAAAACATGCCAAACAGATTGATGAATCCTATTTTCAGCGTTAAAAATAGAGCTACCCTATGACCCAGGAATTGTACTACAGGGTATTTACCCCAAAGATACAGATGTAGTAAAAAGAAGGGCCATATGCACCCCAACGTTCATAGCAGCAATGTCCATAATGGCCAAACTGTGGAAAAAGCCAACATGTCCTTCAACAGATGAATGGATGAAGATATGGTCCATATATACAATGGAATATTACTCAGCCAACAGAAAGGATGAATACCCAACTTTTGCATCAGCATGGATGGGACTGGAGGAGATTATGCTGAGTGAGATAAGTCAAACAGATTAAGACAATATCATATGGTTTCACTTATTTGTGGAACATAGGGAATAACATGGAGGACATTAGGAGAAGGAAGGCAAAAATGAAGGGGGGGGATCAGAGAGGGGGACAAACTATGAGAGACTATAGACTTTGAGAAACAAATTGAGGGTTTCAGAGGAGAGGGGGTGGAGGGATGGGTTAGCCCGGTGATGCATATTAAAGCGGGCATGTATTGCATAGAGCACTGGGTGTTATGTGCAAACAATAAATCATGGAACACTACATCAAAAACTAATGATGTACTGTATGATGACTAATATAATTTAATAAAGAAAAAGGAAAAAAAAGAAGACTGGATGTTTTATCTAATTTGTGAAAATGGATCAGCATTATCTTTATAGAGGAAAAAAATCAGATACAACATAATAATTCTGAGACATGTTATGCCATGAACATATCAAGCACATTCTTAAAATATACTTGTTATCAAGCAAAAAGTAAACTTAATCTGATTGAGTTAGGAAGAACATACTTGAGTAAACTAAAAATGTATTCTTGCAAGGCTCATAACTCAAAAGGCATAACTGCATTTATTAAAACAACATTAAAATAGTCTCATTTGTCAAAGATTAACCTAAATCACGTGGGCTTGAATTTTAAAAGCATTTTGCTAAGTTTCTACAGGAATATTTCCGCCTCCCATATTGAACATATTAGGGATTTAATTGTCTTAATTTCTGGGAATTTCAGGAATATTAAAATTATATAAACTCTTACTTATCTCTTAGCCAATCCAAAAGAAACTCCTTTAAGAGATCTTAGAGTTTGATGTGATAATAATATTTAGAGGTAGGAAAATATTACATATGCATAATAAAACATATATTCACATATAGACACAAAGAGCTTCTAGCTTTAATCTTTTTCTTTTTTTTCTTTTATTTTTTCAGTGTTCCAAGATTCATTGTTTATGCACCATACCCAGTGCTCCATGCAATACATGCCACCCTAATACCCACCACCAGGCTCACCCCTCCCCCTACCCTACTCCCTTCCAAACCCTTCAATTTGTTTCTCAGAGTCCACAATCTCTCATGGTTCATTTCCCCCTCCGATTTACCCCAATTCACTTTTCCTTACCTTCTCCTAATGTCCTCTATGTTATTCCTTATGCTCCACAAGTAAGTGAAACCATAAAATAATGGACTATCTCTGCTTGACTTTTTTCACTCAGCATAATCTCCAGTCCTATCCATGTTGATACAAAAGTTGGGTATTCATCCTTTCTGATGGAAGCGTAAAATTCCATTGTATATATGGACCATATCTCCTTTTTCCATTCATCTGTTGAAGGGCATCTTGGTTCTTTCCACAGTTTGGCAATTGTGGCCGTTGCTGCTATGAACATTGGGGTACATATGGCCTGTCTTTTCACCACATTTGTATCTTTGTGGTAAATACCCAGTAGTGCAATTGCAGGGTCATAAGGTATCTCTATTATTAATTTCTTAAGGAATCTCCACACTGTTTTCTAAAGTGGCTGTACCAACTTGCATTCCCACCAATAATGTAAGAGGGTTCTAGCTTTAATTATTAACTAAAAAATCTTAGCCCTTATTCAGACATAAACACAAAAACTCAAAACTCACTGGTTCATAGAAAAGAGCTGACTCTACTCCTTGCCTCACTTTTATATTTTTACAAAGATTACATTTTTGGCGGTTGGGGCGAATTGAAGTAACTCGCTCAGTGCAAGAGCTGAACAAGTTTCCTTAGTATTTGTGGAGGAGATCCTTAAAATGTGTTTTGCCCTGGGCACCTGGGTGGCTCAGTGGGTTAAGCCTCTGCCTTCGGTTCGGGTCATGGTCTCAGGGTCCTGGGATCGAGCCCCGCATTGGGCTCTCTGCTCAGCAGGGAGCCTGCTTCCTCCTCTCTCTCTGCCTGCCTCTCTGCCTACTTGTGATCTCTCTCCGTCAAATAAATAAATAAAATCTTAAAAAAAAAAAAGGATGTGTTTTGCCCTGACATGTAATCCTATGGAGGCTGTGGACTGCATTTTGGGAGAGGGGCAGAGGAGCAACCAAGCGGCCATCTGGAATCTCCAAAGTCCATCTGAGTGTTGAAAACATGCAGCCTGTTCCTAGTTAGCTTTTTCAGCACAAGCTTTTGCTCTTGGTGTCACTGAGCTCCTCAGAGCCCCAACAGTGGTGGGAAACTTAAGCCTCAGCTATCTACAGGGAGTTGAGGAGCATGAGTGAGAAAAGGAAGGCCTGGCGGGGGTGGCTAGTGAAGAGGAGGAGGTAGAGGT